GGAGAGTTCTGACGCAAGGAAAAGTGAGGTAAGTCCCAGAGGGCTGATGAGAAAAATGGTGGCGTTGGGGAGGTGAGGAGCAAGGTTGTCCATACACAGTCAGACCTCAAGGGACTGCTTCTTCTACCTGTCCAGACCTCCTGAGGAGACACTCGGGATCATTATCACTTGGAGAATGCTGCTATAACCTCTTCTCTAGTTAGAGAGTCACTAGAGTCACTGCAAGTACATTTATTTTGTTTAATTAAAGAAGGAGTATAGCTCCTTGTTCTCACAGTCGCTGGGTCACACGAGGGAGGTAGATGATGAAGTAAAAGTGGGGTGTCCACATGTCTTTGTGGACAACATTATCCCAAGAACAAAAAGCGAGAGAAGAAAAAAACTCGCCCAATAACAATGACAACAACTAAAACTAATAAAGAAAGGCTGGGCCTGTAATAAGTTACATTATGAGTCATATGCTGAGGAAGATGGACACTACAGCTTCTGGAAAAATTCTGTCATCCATTTCCACACTGCATCCTTGAGGTCCTGGTTCCTCATGCTGTAGATGAGGGGGTTCACTGCTGGCGGCACGACTGAGTACAGCACTGCCACCAACAGATTCAGGGATGGGGAGGAGATGGAGGGGGGTTTCAGGCAGGCAAATATGGCAGTGCTGAGAAACAGGGAGACCACGGCCAGGTGAGGGAGGCAGGTAGAAAAGGCTTTGTGCCGTCCCTGCTCAGAGGGGATCCTCAGCACCGCCCTGAAGATCTGCACATAGGACAGCACAATGAAAACAAAACACCCCAAAAAGACAAAAGCACTAAACACGAGAAGTTGAAATTCCCTGAGGTAGGCATCTGAGCAGGCGAGCTTGAGGATCTGGGGGATTTCACAGAAGAACTGGTCGAGGGCATGGCCTTGGCAGAGAGTTATTGAAAATGTATTGGCAGTGTGCAGCAAAGCATAGAAACAAGCACTTCCCCAGGCAGCTGCTGCCATGTGGACACAAGCTCTGCTGTCCATGAGAGTCCCGTAGTGCAGGGGTTTGCAGATGGCAATGTAGCGGTCATAGGCCATGATGGTGAGAAGAAAATACTCTGCTGAAATGAAAAAGACAAGCAGAAAGGCCTGGGCAGCACATCCCAAGTAGGAGATGGCCCTGGTGTCCCAGAGAGAGTTGGCCATGACTTTGGGGAGAGTGGTGGAAATGCAGCCAAGGTCGAGGAGGGAGAGGTTGAGAAGGAAGAAGTACATGGGGGTGTGGAGGTGGTGGTCGCAGGCTATGGTGGTGATGATGAGGCCGTTGCCCATGAGGGCAGCCAGGTAGATGCCCAGGAAGAGCCCAAAGTGCAAGAGCTGCAGCTCCTGTGTGTCTGCGAATGCCA